CTGCTTCTGCTGGGTCTGGGTGCATGAGGGAGAGGCCATGCTGCACACCAAAGCTGTTGTTTTAATTATTGAGTTTTTTCCAGATTTGGATGATTATAAAGAAAACTACTGTGATTGTTCTTGTCTCTTAGTACATGTGTGCATGTGTTTATCTTGGGTATATTCCTGTAAATACGATTGTTACATTATAGGTTATATGTTTATTCAACTGTAGAAGATAAAGATTTTTTTCAAAGTAGTTTCACCATTTTATATTCTAGTCTCCTGTCTTGTCAGCACTTACTAGTTTTTAAAAATTTAGGCACCTGATTGGTGTGTAAGGCTGTCATTGTGATTTTAATTTACATTTTCTGGATGAGTAATTGTGTGAGTACTTTCTTGTATATTTATAGACCATTTATATGTCTTACTTTGTGCAATTCCAGTTCAAGTCTCTTGCCTAATCCTCCCTCCCTTTCCTTCTCTGTCTTTCACTTCCTCTTTTTCTTTTCCTTCCCTCCTTTATTTTTTTTTAATGATTTTTAATTCTTCATAGGAGTGTTCTGCATATGGAACCTTTCTCAGTTATCTGTATTGTACATATCTTCTTAGAAATAAGACGTGGCTTGCTTTTAAATTTTACAGTGGTGTCTTTTGATGAACAGAATTTTTAATTTTACTATAGTCCAATGTTGCAATCTTTTCTTGAATTTTTGGTTTTTATATCCTGTTTAAGAAGCTTTTCTCTGTGCCAAATTAAGAAGACATTTTTTGTTATTTCCTAGAAAAAAAGTTTCACTTTCTTCCCAATGGATATCCAATTGTGCTAGCAATATTTGTTTAAAGAATTATTTTCACCCCCAAAGTGGCATATACTGCCACTTTTGTCATAAAATAACTGTCTGCATAGGTGTGGGTCAGTTTCTTGGCCCCTTGTTATCTTCCATTGATCTAATATTGGTTCTTATGCTCCTATACACTGTCTTAATTATTCTAAGTCTTGATACCCAGTAGAATAGCTTTGCCATCTGTTCTTCCAGAATGTCTTGGCTAATCTTGACCTTTAGTATTTCCATAGAAATTTTAGAATCAGAACTTGTCAATTTCCACCAATCCTCCTGTTCCTCTGAAAACAGTAATAAAAAGCAACCTAATGGAATTTTGATGAGGAATTGATATCTTTATAATATTGAATTTCCCAATCCACAAACAATGTATATCCCTCCATCTATATATATAAAAGCCTAAGCGACCAGTCTACCATTCAATCTGTCGACCGGTAGCTATGACGTGCACTGACCACCAGGGGGCAGATGCTCAATGCAGGAGTTGCCCCCTGGTGGTCAGTACGCTCCCACAGCGGGAGCACCGCTCAGCTGACCAGTGGGCGCCAGAGCCAGGCTCATGGCTAGCAAGTGCATCTGCGGCAGCACGAGCCTCTCCCACGGACACTCACCCTGCGCACGCCCCTCCCCCATCCAGACTGGGACCAGGATTGGACCAGCACTGGGACTGACTGGGCATGAGCCCACGGCCGCTTCTCAGTCATGGGTGTGCCAGTATTGCCCTAGGACAGGCGCGGAGACCGCAGAGGAGCGGTAGCGAGCTTACCGAGCCGTGGCAGTGGCAGGCGCAGTGGGGCCGGGATGAGCAGGAGCAGTGCAGTGCGCAGCCTGGGCTCAGGCTGCCTGCCGCTTCAGCACTACTACATCCTTCGGGGGATGTAGGACTGCCGGTCGGCTGACCCCGCAGGCCAGGCCGAGGGACCCCACCGGTGCACAAATCCGTGCACCTGGTTTATTGATACTGTTTTTAAATGCTCTCAGGAATTTATAGTGTGTCTGTGTGTGTGTGTATGTGTGTGTATGGTTTTGTTTAGCATTCATTAGATTTCCTGGTATTGCTATTTTCAATTCGCTTATAGATGATGATGTCTTTTTTAAATTTTAATTTCTAATGTATATTGCTGATATATAGACATAGAATTGATTTTATGTATTGCTCTTGTATCTAGCAATATTTCTAAGCTAGCTAATTTATTTTTAATAACTTATCTGTAGATTATTTGTGTTTTCCAATGTAAGAATTCATATCATCTATGAATAAAAACTATTGGATTATTTCCTCTTTTCCATCTATATTTCTTTTTCTTGTATAATTTTCTGGTTTTATTTACTGATTTTTAAATGACTGATATAAAAGGTATGTTAAAGTCTCTTGATACATGAAACTTTCTTATTTTCTTATATTTTTATTCATTTTTGTTTTGTATATTTTGAAATTGTGCTGTTAGACGCATAAGAGTTCCTGGCTGTTAAATCTTTTTGGTGGATTTTATATGTTATTATTAGTAAATATTTCTCTTTGTCTTCTTTAATGTTATTCACTTTGGATTCTGTTCTTTTTTGTTTCATCTACCTGACTTGTTTGGCATTTACTTAGAATAACATTTTTCATTCCTTTATGTTCCATCTTCCTTTGATGTTTTATTTTAAGAAAGTTGCTTGTAAATAGTTTGTACAGTTCTATATTTAACCTCCTTACATTTACTGACTAATGATGCATTTGAACTTCTTTTTTATTTTATTTTATGTTTTTTATTTGTCAAGGCTTTCCCCCCCCTTTGTTGTAATTGATTACATTAATAAAGATTTTCTTGTTTCATTGTGTTTCCTCTACTGATTTGAAAGTTATATGTCAGTTCGGTTTTCATTTGATTTATTTAGTAGCTTATTGTACTACCTCTAACATGAATGTAACATGAATGCTGCATTATTATTAGACATTTATTCACTATAATGTGATATTCTCTTCATTGTCAGGCAGTTGGAACTAATGTAGCATCTGCCTTTGTCAGCCTTTTCCCTTCAGGACAAGTATTATGTCTGTTTGTCATTGTGTCCTTTATGACCAGCCCAGTGTCTGACACATAGTTAGGCACTTGGAGCGTGAAATGGTACCTCATTGTTTTAATTTGGATTTCTCTGATTCCCAGTCATCATATTTTCATGTTTTTATTGACAGTTAAGCTTTTTCTATATATTGCTAGTTTCTATCCTTAGTCTATTTCTCTTTAGGATTGCTTATTTTTCTTATAGATTTGTGGATGTTCTTTATATATTCTGCGTATTTATCCTATGTTAATTATTTGCATTACAGATCTCTACTTCCAGACTCTAACTTATCTGTTAACTTTATGGTGTGTTTTTGTCAAAAGGAAATGTAGCTTAGTATAATTAAATTTAAATATCTTAATATTATATTTGAGTTTAAGAAAGCCTTTTCTGTACTGATATCATAATCATATTCTTCCTATATTTTCTTCTAAAAGCTGTAAAGTTTTCCTTTTACATTAGGTCTTTGTTCCATTTAGGACTTAAGAGTTGTTCAGTGTGAGGCAAGGATCCTGTTTCATTTTGTTACCTGTGGACATGGGTAGTCTTAGCACTATTGAACACAGTTCATATTCGCTGATGTTCATGTTGCCTTTGTCGTAGCCGTGTTGCTCATTGGTTTCTGCCTGATCCTGCTTCACTCCCACACTGCCTTGATTATTACAGCTTTATCATGAACACTGCATCTCTAGTGGAATAAGCCACCCGCTCCTTCCCCACTCCACACTTTGTTATTGTGCTTTACAATTATTTGGACTATCTTGGGACTTTCCTCTTCATAAGAATATTGGGGTCAGCCTGGTTAGATCCCCGCAAAAAAATCTGTTGGAATTTTAATTGGATTTGCATTGAAAATTATAGATTACTTTGGGGAGAATTGACATCTTTACAGTATTCTTTCCATTCATGAAAATAATTTATTCATATCTTCTTTTTTCACATCCTTTAAAAATACCTTTAATTTTTAAAAAAATATTTTTATTGATTTCAGAGAGGAAGGGAGAGGGAGAGAGAAAGATAGAAACATCAATGATGAGAGAGAATCATTGATCAGCTGCCTCTTGCATGCCCCCTACTGGGGATTGAGCCCGCAACCCAGGCATGTGCCCTTGACTGGAATCGAACCCAGGACTCTTCAGTCCACAGGCCGATGCTCTATCCACTGAGCCAAACCAGCTAGGGCAAAAAATACCTTTAATTTTTTTTCTGTAAAAGTGTATATCTTTTCTTAGTTTTCTTCCTAAGTGCCTTATAGTTTTTGTTGCTAATGTTAATAGTATTTATTTCTGTTATATTTTCTCATATTATTTTGAAATGTGGGAATGATACTGGTTTTTGTATGTTTTTCTTCTTTTATATAGAAAACTTGTTGAACTCTCTTTTTAGTTGTAATTGTTTGCCTGTAGATACTCTTGATTTTCTATATAGAAAGCATTATCTTATCCTCAAAAAAGGCAGTTTTATTTCCTTTCCAATTGCAAGGTGTATGTCATGTATGGAGTTCAGACTCTATTCTGTATCAAATTAAGAGCCATCAAAGGTTTCAACAAGTGACATATAAATATTTACTTTTTTATTTTTAATCCTCACCCCAGGATATGCTTACTGATTTTAGAGAGCGGGGAAGATTGAGAAAGAGAGAGAGAAACATCCATGTGAGAGAGAACATCGATTGGTTGCCTCTGTATGTGCCCCGACTGGGGATCAAACCCGCAGCCTGAGCCACACTGGCCGGGGCAATATATTTACATGTTAGAAAAAACAATTTTGGTAGCCAGGTGAAGGTGTGATTGAAGGTAAAGAGGGGTTACTTAGGAGATGCTGTCACTATAGTCACAAGGTATTGCAAGCCTGACCTTGGGTAGTCGCAGAAGGGGAGGAAGGGCAGAGATAAGTACGAGATATTTTAGAATTAGGGACAAAGGGACCAGGTGAATGAGTAAATGTGGGAGGTAAAATTCAGGGCGTCAACCATGGCAGGGTTCCTGCTTGTAGAAGTGCAGTAGGAGTCATAGGCGGAGGAGTAACATTGGCAACAAGGAGCATACCTGTCTATAGATAATCATTCTCTCCCACTTGATTTGAATACCTTGTCCCTCAGTTTGTCCTTTTGAAATCTCCATATAGATAAGTATCCCCCTGATGGGGAGCTTCCGAGGACCCCGAGGTTGGAGAATGAGCTTGAGGCATTAGATGCGGATATCCTTCCAGAAGAGGCTCTGACTATTCTAGACCAAAACGCAAGCTTCAAAGAAGAGGCATTGGCCCCGGCAAAAACAAAAGCAGCGGGGAAGAGGCCTGTGACTGACAATGTGCCATGTAGGAGGAAAGATGCTCTGGCACCGGCCAGATCCCAGCAAGTATGAAATCACTCCTTTCTTTTGGCCCATGGTATTCACCTCACACTGTCCAACATCACAAGGGCTGGTAAGGTGGAGCCAGGATTTGAGTTCTTAGACATTAAATGCCAGAGCCCTTGAGTCCAACTACCTAAAATAAGCTGACTTAGCTGAGCTCTAGGTTGTTTTTATTTTTTACCCAAAATAGCAATTTTTAATATTGTTGCTCGGACAGGATATTCTCTCTTGTCCTGGTTTGCTAATATCCTAACTTACTTGATACCAAGGTCCTAATCAGACAGGCTATTTTAACACTCAGGTTTTTCTGCTTCTGATTTGGAAGTGTGAACTTTGAGGAGATTAAGATTTGGTTCCTGCTAAAGATAAATATTGGTAAATAATAACTACTCAGTATTAAAAGCATCCTAGGGTGAGTACTTTTTAATATGGCTTTGGAAGCCAGCTGGCTTGAAACTAGATTATATTTTAAGCTTCTCGTTGAAATTTAACTTAAGGCCCTACCAGTGGGGAGTGGCCAGAAGACCTCCTCATACTCTAAATATTCTTAATGTGGTGCCTACCATTTAATGGTGCTGTCCAGGGGCTTCTGTAGCAAACCTGTATTATTATCTGGTGGCCGCAGGAAAAGGAATGAGCAGTTACCACCAGTTACCGACGGATCATGGATTTGAATCGTCTTTATTCCTTTCCAGTCAGACTCTCTGGGGGTCGTTGGAAAGGCAGAACTGAGCCTGTGAGATGAGCTTGGTGCTCTTCTTCAGAGACACCTCCTTTTCTGTAAGGTTGTAACAGCCTGAATCATTCTGTGTAGATGAACAAGCCTTTCTACCTTGGTCGTCATACTCTTCTTATATTAGCTCATTTAACCTTCTAGAAACGTGCGAAGAAATGATCTCCTGCTTCTGTGCCCTTCCTTGTTTCACTGCCCTAAGTATATTTTTGCTACAGCCAATAATTCCTTTACTCTTCTTATATTAGCTCATTTAACCTTCTAGAAACTTGCGAAGAAATGATCTCCTGCTTCTGTGCCCTTGTTTCACTGCCCTAAGTATATTTTTGCTACAGTCAGTAAATTCCTGAAGCCAGTTGGAGAAAGACAACTGTCATGATCTCACTCATATGTGAATCTAAAGAACAAAATAAACTGATGAACAAAATAGATCCAGAGACATAGAAACATGGAACAGGCTGATGAATTAATTGCAGCAGGAAGGTAGGGGTGGGTGGGAAGAGATCAACCAGATAATTTATATGCATATGTGTATACCCCATGGATACAGACATTCGTGTGGGTTGGGGGATGGGCTAGAAGGGATCAGTGGGGGGAAAAGGGGGACATCTGTAATACTTTCAACAATAAAGATAGAACAAACAAAAAAAGACATCTCCCATTTTACAGATGAGAAACCTGAGGCTCAGAGAAGTTAACCAAGAATGTTTTACAGTTTAACCCCCTTTTTTTGGTTTGTTCAATTATGAAAACATATATCAAAAGATGGCAAAGCTGTGGATTCCAGTTTTGCATCTCCGCTCCCCCCTTACCAACATTGTTTTTGTGCCATTTACACCCTCCCCCAAATTTCCACCTCAGTGCTTCCCAGCTAGAGTTTTGCTGAATGGATGCATGAATAGCACGGGGGCACTTGAAGCTTCAGTAAGTCAGAGTTCCTTTGATATCCATTTGGTTTGATAATTCATATTTCTCTCTTACAGGGACTTCACAAAGCTGAAAAAAGTAGACCAACCCAATCCCAGGGCAAAAGCAGGTTGCATCAGACAACAGTTTCATCCAGATTAAAAATAAACCAACAGCCTCTGAAAGACACTAGGGCTCCTTGGATACCTCCAAACCCCACGTCCCCACAAGCGTCTCCTAAATGGTATGTAAAAATTCAAGGGACCGTTTGGGTATGTGACTTTATTTTTCCTCCAAAAGATGACCTATTGTTTAGCGCAAATAAAGCAGCAGCCTTAGTTCCCATTCAGAAGTTTTTCCTACCTGACGATGGGTAGTGTAGCCTCCATGGGCCACCCCAACACCTTGTGGACGTGTGTCACTGTATGGAGGCTCATCGACTTTCCTCACTCATCTCTTCACCTAATACCTTCTAGTTACCTGACACTTAGTAAATCTTAGCAGGAATTCAGTACGTCTTTGCTGGATGGATGAGTGAATATTTTAAAGTGATTCTAATTCCAGATAATTATGACTTACAAAACCATAACAATCTCACAGACATTGTCTGACTGCAGGGGACAGTTGGGATAATGCTGACATTATTGCTGTGTCACCTCATTCCACGGAGCTAGAGAGAAGGTATTGTCCTCCAGGGGCATCGGGGTCCAGTTAGGTGGAAGCAGTCTTTGTGGAGTTGGTCCGAGGGGAACTTGTTTACCATGGGACAGTAGTTCTTGAAGGCACAATGGGAAGTACAGGAGGTAGGACAGTAAAAGGAAGGCAGCAAAAAGCAGTAATGTGGAGAGCAAACGAGTGAGAGGTTCGGTGACTGAAGGGGTCTGCCTTTTGGGGGCTGGCAAAAGACAGGCTAAGAAGCCTGGTAGAATGGATTTCCCTTAAGATTGAATGATTCTAAATGAATGGTTCTGCTTATCCATCAACTCTCACTTTAAAGGTGAAGAAGCAATGTCTAGAGAATATACTGTCTTCCTTATATAGCAGAGCTGGGACTCATAACAGGTCTTCTGATTGCTTGATGTGCTTCTTTCATTTTTATTTCTCTCCTCTAAAGTCTGTCTTTTACATATATATATGTTAGTATAAAGATGTGAATTCAGTTGGTAAACATCAATTAGGCAAAGTTTATATTGCAGCTGAGTGTATGTGTGGCGGCTAGGGAGGGGAGTGGATAATAAGGCCTCCAGACTCAAAGTGCTGTATTAGGCCTATAAAGGTAAAGGGTTTCTTCATAATATGGAATGAAATTAGTGACCCAAGTCTATATATTATTACAGGTTTTTGTTGAAGTTTACCCATTATTCTATAATTGACTTTTTCCCCCCCATTTAAAATAGTGATTGGCCATGAGTGGTGGTGCTCAGTGGTTAGAGCATTGGTTCCCCACAGTGAAGGGTCGTGGGTTCAACCCTTCAAGGGCACGTAACTGAGCTGCAGGTCGATCCCCGGCCCAGGGCATGTGCAGGAGACAACCAATCAATGCGTCTCTCTCAAGTTGATGGTTTTTTCTCTCTCCCCTCCTGCCCCCTTTCCACTCTCTCTGGAAATCCGTGGAGAAAATACCCTTGGTGAGGGTTAACAAAATAAAATAGTGATTGCTTCTTTGAAGCAAAAGGAGGACTTCTCTCTTGATACTGAGCCTGAGTCCTGGGGGATCTCACCCTTGTTCACATTCAGCTCCCCGTTAGGGCCCCGTGCTCGAGATCACTGTTTCTAAATGCTTTATCTTCTCTGAGCTGTCACCTTGCAGTGAGCCATTGGCTGTGGAGGGAATGGTTGCAGAGATTTACTTTCCATTTCTTGCAGTGCTGCGTGGCTGAAGGTGAAACCTAGCCCCAAAGACACCACGAAAGAGCAGTCTGTGGAGCAAGAAAGTGCTCAAGAGGAAAGTCAGCTGGGAGGTGCTGTTGAGCACGAAGCAGTTAGGTTTGTGCTGGTGTTTTCAAATCTTTGACAGTGTATGGGCCCCTTTCACATAGATTCTAAATGAACTTTCTTCTCTTCCCTGTGTATAAAGTGGTTATTTAAAATGTAAATTATTAACATTTTCTGTCAAACTATTCAGCTGAGACAGTGAATCCCTTTTTTATTCCTTATTTAATTCATTCAGAAATTATATGAGTGTCAAGTGCTTTACATGTATTAGCTCTCTGAATCATTATAACCCTATAAAGGAGATACTGTGGTTATCACTCCCATTTTTCAAATGAAGCAAGACATGTGCAGTCAGTTACCCGTGTCACACTTATAGTCAGTGACCAAAGCTGGGATTTGAACCCAGGCAGTCTTCCCTGGACGGTGTGTTATTCTGGTTGCTCAGCACAGCAGGGTGTTTAAGGTCTAGGATAGAAGTTGGAGGAAGAAAGGTTAGGAGAGGTAGAGTTGGCTGTCATCTTTGAGGCAGTGTTTGAATTAGGCAGGAAGGTGATATTTACAGGGAAGAAGTAGGAAACAATTTAGTTGTGGGGCAGGGATTGAGCTTTGGGTTAGCTCCCCGGGAGCAGTAATAGGAAGGGGAACCAGTGGAAGAACATCAAACAGGAAGGAAGAACAGAGCAAGGTAAGATGAGTAAGCCAGGACGAGAGGGCTCCAGCGAGGGGTCATGATTATCAATGAGCCTTTAAGCTTGCTTGTGCCATGGACTTCTTTGGCAGTTTGGTGGCATCTTTGGACTTTGTCCAACAAGAATATTTGTAAATGCATAAATAAAATATACATATAACGAAATATTTTTAAAAACTTATATGTGTGTTAGTTGGCTGGCAGTTGCTTGTTTTGTATATGGTACAGTTGTGAGCGCTATGGAGACTTAAAAAAGGGCAAAAAAGACCAAATCCTGACCCTGCTTGTTTACCATCAGTAGGAAGGACTTGTCATTAGCTGTAATTCAAGATCGAACATGGTGGTTACCCTAAGAAGTAAAGGGTTAAGAACAGAGGTTTTAGACGGGAAAATAAATTAGGATTAAAGACTAGGCCCTAAATAGGGGATGATGGGGCAAGAACATTCCCTATGAGGACAGCAGTGAAAACAGGTCTCTGCATTTGTTTGGCTGAAATTGTTCTTGAAATTATGGGAAAGCAAAAATGAATATGGGCCACTAAATAATTTAATAATATTTACATATCCTAAACCGAAATAATCAGAGCCCATCCACATAGAGTTCGCTTTTCCCTTCTCTTTTATTTGACTTCACTGTGCCTTTAGGGTTCTCCGGGAGTCCATTTCTTTGTCTAGCCGTATAGCTACAGCAACAGCTTTATTTTGCAGTTGAACAGGAAATCTAAGTCCAGTGATGGATAGTTTATGGAGAATATTCAGGCGCAGTTTTTGTTGCTTTGCACACTAGGAGTGCTTGTGCCCGGAAGTGTCTTCTTACCCGGAACGTTACCTGGAGAGCTTACGGGGTCCAGAGAGGTTGTGTTACCTTCTGCGTCCTTCCTGGAGGCAGGATGGGCACTCTGGTATCCCAGTCTGTGTCTGTGGTATTGGCACCTGCAGACCGAGGCAGAAGTGGTCTGACTCTGTGTGTTCTGTCTGCTAGACTCGCTTGGCTTGATGCAGAAACTTCCAAAAGATTGAAGGAACTCGGAGAATTAAAAGCTGAAGAAATGGACAAAATGCAAAATCAGAGGTAAATATCTGTTTCTGGGGTAAAATAGGCTTGATATATATCAGTGATGGCGAACCTTTTGAGCTCGGGTTGTCAGCATTTTGAAAAACCCTAACTTAACTCTGGTGCCGTGTCACATATAGAAATTTTTTGATATTTGCAACCATAGTAAAACAAAGACTTATATTTTTGATATTTATTTATATATTTAAATGCCATTTAACAAAGAAAAATCAACCAAAAAAATGAGTTTGCGTGTCACCTCTGACACGCGTGTCATAGGTTCGCCATCACTGATATATATCATCTAACTGTTTTAACAGCTAGCTAATTGAAATTGTTTAAAGGTGTAGTCACACTTATGTTTATTGGCTGCCTGCCTGCTTAAAAGATTTTGAAATAACCTCAGAAGGCTGCAGTGGAGCCAGGATTGGAGCACAGGGAGTCCTGGCGGCTGTGAGGAGAGCTGGGTGGCTGTTCTGTACTGTCCTCTAGGCTCCATTGGCTTGATGCTGAAAGGATTCTTGAACTTGAGCTTTCCTCTAGGGCAGTGGCTCTCAACCTTCTGGCCCTTTAAATACAGTTCCTCATGTTGTGACCCAACAATAAAATTATTTTCGTTGCTACTTCATAACTGTAATGTTGCTACTGTTATGAATCGTAATGTAAATATCTGATATGCAGGATGGTCTTAGGCGACCCCTGTGAAAGGGTCGTTCGACCGCCGAAGGGGTCGCGACCCATAGGTTGAGAACTGCTGCTCTAGGGTCATCTGGGTGGACTGTTTGCTGTCATTAGCTGTAATTCATGCTGGTCTTTAGGTCTCTCCTGGGGGCGGGGGGGGGGGGGGGGGGGGGTGTCAGGCTGTCCAGAGTAGAGTCTTCTGATGTTTCGCCTGGAGGGTAAAGATCTGTATGCCAGTGTCCTAGGGGCTGGGTTGGGGAGGAGGGTTGTAATTCCTACCACTCGGCATTCAGCGTGCATACATGCTCCCCTCCTTTTGGCAGTGTACCTACAGCCTCAGCTGGGATTGGCATCCCTTAGTCAAGAGACCCTTCCAGAGACTGAGCAGCCAGACTGCTCACAGCGTTGGAGAGAGGTCTAGCTTCTCGAACATCATTTGATGCTTGTCTTCCATATTTATGCTACGCCTCCCAGCTCACCTCCAGGCTAGACATGCCTGGTGCTGCCAGTCTTGCTCCTGTGTCAGTCAGTAGTGCACATTGTGTGGGTGTTCAGTGTTCCCACGCGGGCTAAGTATCCCGCTTTCTCAGGTCAGCTACGTTATTGCCTTTGGCCTTCTGCCTCCAGCACCTTTCCCCTTCTCTTTGTGGGTCTATGTCTAACTCTATTATTGTGGCGCTTTGGGAGGGAGCAAAATTAGTTTCATTTGTCCAATTGTCTACCATCTTTAGTTGTTTAAAGGCAGCCATTATTCTTTTAAAATGTACTGAGAGCCTCACGTGCTTCATTAGATGTTTGATGTAGGACCAGCAGTGTTGCATCCACCTGGAAGCTTGTTAGAAATGCAGAATCTCAAGTCTCAGTCAGACCAACTAAATCAGAGTATGCGTTCTATTTTTTATTTTTTAATTCTCACCTGAGGCTATTTTTCCCATTGATTTTTTTTAGAGAGACTGTAAAGAAGGGAGGGAGGGGGGAGAGAGAGAGAAAAAGAGAGAGAAACATCGATGTGAGAGGAAGCATTGATCGGTTGCCTCCTGCATGTGCCTAGACGGGAATTGGGGAGCAAACCCACAACCCAGGTATGGGCCTTGACTGGGAATCAAACCCGTGACCCTTTGGTCTGCAGGCTAATGCTCTAACCACTGAGGAATACTGGCCAGGGCTCAGAGTCTTATTTTAACAAGACCCTAGGAGACTCATATGGCCCTTAATATTACGGAAGCATTGCCCTGGCCAGTGTGGCTCAGTTGGGGCATCGTCCTGTATACCAAAAAGTGGCTGGTTCGATTCCCGATCAGGTCAGTACTCGGGTTACGGGTTTGATCCCTTCACATCGATGTTTTTCTCTCTCCCCTTGCCTCTGTCTAAAATCAATGTGAAAGAAAAATTAGGTAAGCATTGAGGGTTTATAAACACTTGATTTTCCTTCACCTGGAATGGTAAATAAATATGTAAAATAGAATATTTTCTTGCTTTTGATTTTAATTCTCTATTTTATTTCTAAATAGTGTTTCTGCTACCCAGTTAGCAGACCAGGTAGAGAAGGCAGTCCTGGAGCGGTTGAAGCCTCTGCTGGCACAGGCTCAGGTAACCCGCTTCACCTCATCTGCTTGCCGTTGGGAAGTTCCAAAATAGAAGGAGTTGCTACAGAGGTCCCGCTGACCCCTCGTAGGGCTGCGTGTCTGGCAGAGGGAGGGTGCAGCGCTGAGCCGTGCTGCACAGTGTGGTGCAGTGCTGGCTGCGAGGGCCTTCCATTGTGGGCTGGTGACAAAGACAAGGGGGAGAGAGAAAGTCCCACTTTTTAGGAGGTGAGATTTTAGTTTGGGGAATGAGTTTAGATTGCATTTTTCATTCTTTTTAAAAAATACATGTTTTTATTAATTTTAGAGAGAGGAAGGGAGAGGGAGAGAGGGATAGAAACATCAATAATGGGAGAGAATCATTGATTGGCTGCCCCCTGCCCGGCTCCCACTCTGCCCCCCACCACGGATTGGGCCTGCAACCTGGGCATGTGCCCCGACCGGAATTCGAACCTCGACCTCCTGGTTCGTGGATCAGCACTCAATCACTGACCATACCAACCAGGCACAATTTCCATTCTTAGTCAAATGTGTATCGGTGGTCATGCGTTAGCTAACTGCTTCTGCTCTCTCACTTCAGTGGTTTGAGATGATTGACACTATTTTTCCAAAGGAGAGAGATTTCTGGGTACAGACCAGGGCTTTTTTGAAGATGGCATTGCATACAGCATCAGCAGCAGGTTGTGCATCCTCTTAGGCTGAATGTTGTGGCCAGACCCTGTGGATCCACCTGTAAATAGGGACAGTCTGTGTGTGTGAACGGATGAGGCCACAGAAGAATATTAGCATCTTAAATGGAGCGATTGGCATTCTGGGCCCCTGAAAAGGTCGCTGAGTTTCTGTAGCTCTAGTTTAAGAAATGTTGAATTATTATTAGAGTCCATGGGAATCTCAGGACTATAGAACAGGGAGGGGTCCTAGAGACCATGTCATCCAACCTCTTCATTTTATCAATGAGTTAACTGGAATAGAGAAGTGGAGTAGTTGCATAAAAACACACAGCTACTCTGACAATGTTTACAAAGTGAGGGAGGAAAGGGGCAGAAAGCCAAGATCAACACATGACGTTTATTTTCATAAAGACAGAGTGCTTCGAATTGCTACAAAAAGCCTCCTGTAGCTAAAGCTGATGAACAGTCCACACAGAAGTTACTCCATTACAGAATTCATTTGTACTAATATGGGTTGTAAATTTTTATAATTCATGAGCTTTCTTGTCTGTTTTAATAGAGAGTTAATTCTTCTGTGGGAGCAGATACTCATTTGAAGGATCGCCCATCGGTAAACACAGGGACAGCCCAGCCTGCAGAGGAGGTGCGTGTGGTATTATTACGTGATGATGTCTCAGTTGTAAGGAAAATGAGGTGCACATTGCAAACACTTTGCAAACACTAGATTATCTTACGCAAGAAGTGGAAGTTATTTTTCATGTGTGGCATGTTCATGCTTACAGTGTGTATGTAGCATGAGGAGTTAGATCCGCCTTGCAAACAGCTCTGGAGCCACAGGTTCTTGTTAGTGGCTCTTTTGTGCTCCTCATAATGACAGAACGTGGGTGCACTGCGTGACCCTGGATGCTGATGGCCTCCGGCAGGAGAATGGCTGTCCTCATTTCCTTTCATTCAGCCTGGTTTTGCTCATTACTGGCTTCTTGTCTGTTTTAATAGAGAGTTAATTCTTCTGTGGGAGCAGATACTCATTTGAAGGATCGCCCATCGGTAAACACAGGGACAGCCCAGCCTGCAGAGGAGGTGCGTGTGGTATTATTACGTGATGATGTCTCAGTTGTAAGGAAAATGAGGTGCACATTGCAAACACTTTGCAAACACTAGATTATCTTATGCAAGAAGTGGAAGTTATTTTTCATGTGTGGCATGTTCATGCTTACAGTGTGTATGTAGCATGAGGAGTTAGATCCGCCTTGCAAACAGCTCTGGAGCCACCGGTTCTTATTAGTGGCTCTTTTGTGCTCCTCGTAATGACAGAACGTGGGTACACTGCGTGACCCTGAATGCTGATGGCCTCCGGCAGGAGAATGGCTGTCCTCATTTCCTTTCATTCAGCCTGGTTTTGCTCATTACTGGCCTAATTTCCTTTATACTCGGGGCCAGCATATTTTGAGTGTCCAGTAATGACCAGTATCTGGCCGCACGGAGAGAAAAGATAGCCCAAGGAAAAGTGATCACATTTGAGGGAAGAACAACAGGCTTTGTAGTTGTCCAGCCTCTGGAGGACCACAGGTGTGCTCCCACCGGCCTAGGCTGTGAGCGGACGGTGCCGACTGCAGCACTGACCCCGTGTGCAGGGTGGAAACAAGGTAACGGTGTCTGTGCGGAGCAGGTGTGCAGCTTTCAGGGCCAGGTGGGAGTTGGAAGGAAGCGCCACCAGTCCAGCCACCTTAGGAACAGGAAGGAAGGTAGCAGGTTTCCAGAATGTATCCCTATTGTAATTATTAGTCAGAGTTTTCTTTATAACTGCACCATGATTAAATCTCAATGTGTCTCTCTTGCATTGATGTTCCTAATCTTTGTGATTATAAGTTCATTGTACAATATTTTATGACAGAATCTCATGTGAGGTGAGGCTTCTGAGACTGGAAACTGAAAGCCTGCATTTAGCTCTTACAAATCGGGGATGCTATGTTCTGGTGCAGATAGCCACCAAGTGATACTTTTATTCTAGTAAAATAACGAGGCTAGGGAGGCAACTCCACAAATGAAGTGATTATAAATGCTGTCTGTGAAGTGGACATGTGTGAATATTTTAAGAATAGTCAGTCTTGGGCATGATGAGGGGGGGTGGGGGGTTATGTGGGGATAAGGACACATATGTAATAACTTAATCAAAAAAAATATATAAAATAAAATGCTTCATCCAGGTGTCAAAAAAAAAAAAAAAAAAAAAGAATAGTCAGTCTTCGCCCTGGCCAGTGGTTAGAATGTCAGCCCGCACACCAAAGGGTTATGGGTTGCAGGTTCAATCCCTGGCCCGGTCAGGGCATGTGCAAGAGGCAACCAATCAATGTGTCTCTCTTGCATTTCTCTCTCTCTCCCTCTCTCCCTCTCTCCTCCCTCCCTTCCACATTCTCTAAAATCAGTGGTAAAAAGTATCCTCGGGTGAGGATTAACAACAAAAAGAATGATTAGCTTTCTATGTAAGAATTACACAGATAAGTTTGCATTAAATGGTCTTTACTATAACTTATGGAAGAAGAAAAGTATTTAGTGTTGTGGCCGCTGTTAAACATCAGGATTGTTGTAAAGAGTTTCATACACAGCACCATCAAGAGTCAATGCTTTTAGCCCTGGCGGTTGGTTGGGTGTCATCTGAAACATTGATGTGAGTGTGAAACATCAATTGGCTGCCTCCTGCAAGCCTCCCACCAGGGATTGAGCTGGCAACCTGGGCATGTACCCTGATTGGGAATCGAACCAGCAACCTTTCGGTGCATGGGACAATGCTCACCAGCCAGGGCATAATTTTTATTTAACTTTGATTAAGATTGGATACTTGTTCATATCTTTACTGGCCATTAATAATATATTTTCTTCTGTGAACTATTATTGTGATACTTTACACAGACAATACTAGTATTACTTGGTTAATGCTACTGTTTAAACGACTGGTAAAAATTGTACTGATGTTAGTGATTTTGATATTTACTAACTCAGAGGAGGTAAAAACTGCCAGTTGGATCACCATGTGGTGGGTTATGATCAGCATTAATCTTTAGGTTCCTCTGCTGGCTTTGGATTGCCTTCCCATCCTCCTCCCTTGTTTCGTAGGCTACTGCTCTTGATTGTAAATCCAACAACAATCCTCAGCTGGACGATGTTTTGGAAGATACCACTCGTGAGCTCCGGGCTGTGACTCACTCTAAGATCTTGGAGCCTGACGCCTTAGCCACCTTAGGGGACGGCCTGTGTCTGGAGACCATGCTGCTCCGAATGGAGGAAATGGAAGTAAGGTCTGGGCTGCAGGCTCTGGTTGGCC